ATCAATTGTTCCAGGTACGGCCACATTGATAAGCTTGCTGCAATAAAAAACAATATTGTTGACGATCTAGACCATGAGGCTTATAAACGATATGCACATGAGTACAGAAAGAGCAATAGTTGATATTAACCAGATAAGAACTCCGTCCTTGGCAACCTCAAAGAGATCATTAGTAGAAGGATCAATAGGAAGGAATTTTTTCAAAAATTCATCTTCTGCAAGATAGTTGTTAATATGGGCAACATATGATGCCTTCTCGGATTCACTAATTGTGTGGAGTAGCGTAGAAGTTGGAGACTTTAGGAAAGCTGATGAATTCTTGACGCTATTTCCCATTCTTGCTGTGGCATGTGCTTGGAGTTCCAAATAAACCTGTCACAAGTTCAACAAATTTTTGCACTTTTTAGATACATCCACTAGTGACTCTTGACGTGTATGTTCTGAAAAGCTCTAGAAACAGAGTGGAATAATTCAAACAAAATGACTGTGTAAATCTACTCTAAAACTATCTAAAAAGCAGAAAATGTAACAAGATTTCAGTTTCCTTGTGCAAAGAGGAGAATTAGCTCCTGGAAATTGATGGTTCAGCTAAGTATATTATTCATTCACTTCTGTTATTTAAAGAAAATTTCTAACTCTATATTCACAAGGAAGGAGTATTGTTTTGAATATGCATGTCTGTTTATCCATGGATATGTCCATAAACTAATATTCCAGTGACATCAAAATCTTAAGCTTCTTTCTGTCACAAAGATTAGAGAGATTATATCAAATGTATGAATTCCATTTATCATCTTTCTTTTTCAAACTGCTCTTTATTAGTTTCCGAATGTGATGGAAGCTGTTTTCTGGATTTTAGTAGAAGCATTTCTTATGCTACTCTTACAAGATAATTCTGCATACTTGAAACTTTCAAAATCAAGTCCAAATTTCCTTCTCTTCTTAGTGATATTCCTGATAGCTCAAAGCACCAATTAAGTACAAAAAGGACTATACAAGGAATGAGCTTATGAATCTATAGTTTTCTTGATTTTGTTTAGTTTTTTATTCTAGAAAAAAATATAATGAGAAAATAAGCTAAAAACTCTGTCTAGTGAATGAATTAAGAATATTGTTTCCTGATACGATATCATTAGGCCGATTTCCAGATCAAGTGTCTCCTTTTAAGAATGATCCAAACAACCACTTCAGAAAATGCCATCTGTGGATATGAATCTACTGCATCTAACAACATTTCAACTGCATGAGCGCGGAATATATACCCGAAGAAATAATTCGAAATCAACGTCTTCATCCAAACATTTATAGGAATCTCTGAGAAACAACTCTCTGTCTTGCTCCGTAAGATTCTCTCCGACGTGTTTCAGTTTCGCCATTTGTGAAGGCAAGTCGGCGAGCATCAGACCTCCGTTCTCTTTCTTCATCGTGTTAAACTGCGCAGAAATAAATAAAACGTAATCCTCAATAATGGAGATCCGCAGATAAAATTCAAAAATGAAAAAGAAAAAAATATAGATATTGATCAGAGAAAACACTTACGTGAGATTTTAAACTCCGAAGCTCCACCTGAGTGAACTGATTTTGCAGCCATGGATCCGATACCAGTACACCTACATATCCAGCCATTCTGCAATTCTCTACTCACTAAAACTTTAGAGAGAGAAAGTTGAGATTTTCTGTGAGTGGGAGAAGAAGAGTGAGAATGGAGATTGAGGGGAAGAGGCTTAACACTAGAGTGAGTACACTGGGGACGGAGAAGGAGCTGTCAGTGTCTGTTTCAAAGCTGTTCCTTTAAAATTCAAATTATGAGACGGTATTGTCCCTTTTTTTTACTGCTTTACTTTATACTTAATTCAAATATAGTACAGTGCTGCATAATTAAACCCTCCAGTTTGTTTACGGTATTAATTAAACTATAGTACTACTATTTGATATGGTTTACTAGTCAACAGGGAACGAGAAGAATGTGAAACTATGGAGGAAAAGCATTAACGGTCACTTTTTAATTTTGTGAACTCCGCCAAATGTGTTGGAGGATATAATTACTGTCACATGACACTCACCTAAACCTGGGCCTTTACCTGTGACTTTAATATTTACCTTGCTAAATTCAATACGATTTGCCTGCTATCAACACCACTAATACTTAGGACATATTCACATCAAACAATGAATTAACGGTCAATTCTATTTCATATACACTTGTATTGTTTGACCATAGGTAATTTATCACTTGACTTTATTAATGTGGCTTGACCCCCTTCCCAGGAAACCCTCCTCTCATAAGTGTTAACTGTTGATATTCATTAAATGTCGATCCTAAATTTTAAGTTGTAAAACTTAATGGTCACAATTGCTTGACAGGTGGTTACTGTAGTTATTGAAAGCACCTAATTAAAGAAGTTACCAGCTGTGATTCTTCAAACGCTGATAAAGCACGTAGCTTCAAAAGTGAAGGTACCCTCGTCTTTGCACTCTTTATTTAACTTCCGGCTAGTTTTCACGAAGTGACATAACTGAAATTTCAGGTCTAATTAATCCTCGATGGCAGGAGAATTATCATTTTGTTTGTACTTCATTTGTTCTTTTTTCCTTCATGCACTCTCATACACAATCCATGTGCAGAACTTGCTCAAGTTGAGGAACACAATTTTCGGAACAAGTTTTAGGTAGAAAATGGTAAAGCCAAGTGAAAAATGTGACTCTCTATCTTAATTGGCCCAATTTCAGCACTTCATGTTCCTTCACAAATGACTTTTATCAGAACGTATGGTCCTTCTTGTCATTTTTCATAGAAGAAAGATTAGTTGAGCACCTTTCAAATTGTGAGCCCCACAGAAGGAGGGTTTGCTTTACGAGAAAAGTCTGAATAGATAACATAACGGCTCTTCTGATGCTTTGTCGAGACTAGAATTTTGAAAACTGGAACGCCACTCTCCAGTAGTAGATTTTGAATTAAACCAAACGCGATCATTTCAGAAGGAACCAAACTTTAGCTGTCGTTCTCAACCCGCGAAGTCAAAATTTGGTATAAAACAATTCTAATCTAATTTAAACTACTGATAACAATCTTCTTCATATTTCATCCTTAAAAAAACTAAAACACTAGCTCAAACGATTTCTTAAATTTAACCTCTTGTAGATTTCTTCACTCTTATTCTATAGCTAATCATAATGTCTTATTAACAACTTACTTGTCCGGTCGACTTTTGCATATTACATAGAGTACTTTAGCAATAAAATAAATAAAGATGTGGTTTTTTAGTACTCCTAACACAACTCTATATCACTATCACTATTATCTTCATTTCCATAGATTCCAGAGCCACAATGCAAAATTATTCCTAATTTTATACACTGCCGGGGTAAAATTATTTACACCATTAACACTTAAACACCAAGTGCAAAAAATGTTGAAAAAGTAACTGATCAAAATTTTAATGCAAAAAATGTGTAGTCATTGAATTCATTTGAAAACGATAAATAAAGGATGCGTGAAGGATTAGGAGGAAAAAAACACAAACTAAAGCAACCTGCGATACTTATCTAATTTAATGAAAGCTGTGTAAGTAGCATTTACACACAAAAAAAAAAACGAGCACCTCACGTGGCCATTTCCAGTGCTTTTATTCTAAAGGATAGAAAAGAGATGGGGAACAACTATTGGCATGGGGCACTCTAAGTTGTCCTCTGACCAACTTGAAGTTCAGGGGTATCTCATTTTTTGTTATATCAACATCCCCAAAAGCGCCACTACCTATAATTTCCTGCTACTCTAAGTTAAAGAATTACAATATGAAATGCAAATCATATTTACTTCTCGACCAGAAGGATTAACAGGTTCAAAGCACAAGATAAAACAAGTCGAATTTGAGCTCAGTTATTCATGTACTACTCGTCTCTTCTCCCAACCCTCGAGGCATCAACAATAGCTCAATATACACGACTCCACTATCGAGTTGCTTTAAAGTGGTTATGGTTGACAAAATAAATGAAACTAACGTACAAGGTTTTTTCAATAATGATGGTATTCAGACTAACTCCTCATTAATCCACAGCGGATCTGTTATTTTTCACTAGGCACCAAGTAACTCTATCATCAAAGTTTAGGAAGATAAAATAACCAGTTAGAATTCGAACATTGGCTCCGAAGGACGCCATCCCCACTCATCAACTGCTAAGACACCCCCTTGGCAAAATTCAGCACAAGATATCTTCTTTAAGCAAAATAAAATATGACTATTAGGAAAAAGCAGAAGTATGGAAGAAAGGGGTTTAAGTTTTTAAATATCATTTGGGGCATATAAAAAACTTGAATATTGGAGCATCGCTGTGTCTGGAGTGCGGAACAGGTTCTTGAAATGAGAATTGAAGGACAAGTAGGCCCAAACCACACATGGGTTTCCCCACACAGACACTTTATCTTGCTTCAATTTTGTGATTCGATTGATCTTAGAGTCCCGAATTATCATCATTGCTAGTGATTGGACATGGCTAAAAGTATGATTCTACCCATGTATGGGTTTGTTCGCTGTATCATTGAAAGATAGATTTGCATATCATACCTCCGGAAACATGCTGGCTCCTTATCTCATAACTTTCCTTTTTCTCCTTTCCTCTTTCAACTTCTTGCCATAGTACTTCTGGGAAAATGTTTTAACACTTGTAAAGCGCCTATATCTTTGTACTTGTGTTCTTGTGTTCTTCTTTGGGTGTTTCCAACAGTAGATGTCTCAGAATTTTGTTTCAAATTCTATGCTATTTCCTTCCAACTACTCGTAATTGTTCGTATGACAACTATGCATAACTCTAAAACTCTTAATGTCTACTAAGATTCGAGACTGCTGTATAAGATGCAAAATCCAGCACCCCCCCCCCCCA